TTGGTTTACAATCAGATTTATTTTGTATGGGTGACATCAATGTCCGGCGATTCATTTCCCTGAACGTCAACCCGCTAGACATTTTTGTTAGGCAAGTAGAGACGACATTCGTATGAGAGCAATGCACTATCGCTCGCATCCGGTAGCCACGTCCGGTGTTTTCGCATCACCAAAAAAGGTGCGAACACGTTTATTTATAGCCATGATGAATGGTTGCGTCGTCTTCATCCGATTTATTTATTTTCAGTGTGAGTAGGAAGTGTAGGCAATTTGTATTTGAAAGTATTCCGGGTTTTTGCATGGACAGATGAAAGGACCTCTTCATGCAATAAAATAATAGAGTTATTGAACCGCAGCCAAGTGCTTAACATTTTACTGTTTTATCAGCTGTGACTGGTGGATCATAAAACGTTTGCGAGCTATGATTTGCAATGCATCGTTGGGTTTTCAGTGCGCGTTGTGCGTCGTTCCGCACGATCGAGGAGGCGGTGCAGCGCTAGTGTCGGCGTGGCCACGCGACATTGGCACAGTTGTGCGCGACCTCCCCACGCCGCGAACGAGGCCACAACAAACGCCCCAAAACGAGAAACAACAACGCGCTCAGATTCCGGCACGCCTGAATCACCGCTGGTTAAATTAACGCCTGATGCGCGACTTATCTAGGCGGCTGCCACACCCGCGCGAAAAATACCAGCAACACGTGCCAACGACGCAGATCCGACTCTCCTCGCAAGTTGTTGCCATAGGGCTATTGCAGAATCATAACAATAACTCTCACGATGGTCTGGCTGAACGCAAGTTATACAACTGTTGAAATTGAGATGTAAGTACGGGTGTATAACTGAGCGCCCAACATTATGCAAATACGTCGCTGTAATGTGCCGGAGTCTTGCACCATGAAGCTTTAGCAACTTGGTTTCAAAACGTATTAAAAACTCGGCGTGGGCGCGTTGCCGGTACGCATGCTGATCGACTGCCACTGATCGGACTATAACCTCGGGCTGCGTTTAATACTAAAACAACACATTGCGTGTATTTTGTAGCAATATGCGAATGGATGCTCGTCTGACGATATCATGCGTAAACCAGTTTTAACGTTCTAATTTTGTAAGGTGGAATGAAAATGCAAAGACAGCCGGTGGCCGGGCCGGTATGCGGTGCGGCGGCGTCTGCCGGGTGGCGAGGCGTGCGTCTATCGCGAACCAATTTGGCACATCCGCCGGCGAGCGCCAGCACCATAAATATCTCGTCCCGTTTAAACCAGACGTGCAAATTTTACCATCGACGATATTTCACGTTGAAACAAGAAACCACTGGAACGTTTGATTAACCATTTTATAAAAGAGTAAAAGTTTTCTAATTCCATTGTTAAGATCGGCGTTCGATGTGATCGTGTTCTTGATATTCCGAACTGATACCTCGTTACTTAAATATCAAGTTGCGTAATCAAAAGCCGCAGTATCTCGTCATTGTTTGCAATGCATTCGATCATCCGACCCGGCTTCTGAACACCGCGTTACACAAAAACTCGGGTTTTGTTTTGTTACCTGGAATGATTCGGCAGAGTTATTATTATATCGAGTCAGAGTGGGCGGAATGAATTTGAACAATATGCACAGGACAATTTTTGTACCTGAGTTTGTTTACAAAGGATTCATAGTATCGACGAGTTGACGCATTCAGGCTCCTTCCAGTCTGTAGCGTTACAAGATTTGTCTGTGCTTTATCGTAAATCGTGGCGTAGCAAATTATGATTCAGGAACGTATAGCGGACAATGGCTATTTTGTCATATGAATGCATTTCCTTCCGCCTCGTCGTATCCTGCCGAGTCGGCTACGCCAAAGTCAGTGTATAATTCGAACAAAGGTAGTTTGTAGTCAAACATCCGGCTTTCCTGCGATAAATCCAACTGATTGACAAGCAATTTCATTGTAGCATAAAATTGCTTATTTTTTGCAAACAAAATAATCGGCTCGACAAAGGAAGTAATAAGATTGGATAGATCAAACCTTTTGACAAAATCAGTACTTAATCGTAGGACAGCAGCGATATTATACAGTAAATGATAAAGCGTGGTGGTAGCCCACGTGGTAGTAAGCAGCGCAGTCGCGAACAGTGCTACCTGCGTTATCGTATTGGCCGTACCGACCTCGATTTCCTCCCCCAAGGCCTACGCCCGGATACACCGTTAGAGATTTCTCTTGATATGTAGTTTTTTTACATGCTTAAGCTCTCATTTGTTGCCTCTTGCTACTTTTAACACAGTGAAAGCAAGTTCGACATTTGCACTCCACTTGGGAGTCATTAAAAAGTGAATTGTAATTTTAATCTTAACACAAGATTACGGACCATAATCATCGGCCAGACACTTCTTTACTTTTTAATTTTCATGTCAAAGGCTAGATTTCAAAAGCGGTGGAGTGCTCGTTGCATAAAGAGAAAAAATGTTTTCATCTCAAAGGACAAGAAAAACTACGGGCGAGTGTCAAGAAAATCCACTTCAAAGCGTCAAAGAAGAGCGCGGAATCAATATTAATGTTCTTGTTTACCTTTGAGACAGCTGAATCGCGGGATGTTGATCGCGGCGTCCCGCCGGATGACTCGAATTTATAATCAGGGGTGCCTGTATATCACGACCCAGGACGTGAGAACGGAGGTCAAAGGGCGGGACACTTGATCATGTTGCACCTTCGCGACTAAATTCAAGTGACAGCATTCTCACGATTGCTAACAACAGCTGTATACAACTGACCACTGCGACATGTGAATTGTCATTAGAATTTATTAGGGCTAAACAAGGTCAGCTGCCTCTTTATGCATATGCGCGATTGTCATCAGACCATGTGAAGGATTAGACACATCTTCACAAAAAGGGGTCATCTGGGAAAGTTTGCAGAACATGTGAAACGTTAAATATAAATCCTGATTGATATAAGCAGCTGGCTACCTGACGACGAAGGTCCGTTGATATCTTCAACAACAACGCGTAGTATTTCCGTTCTGATGCAGACACATGGCAAAACTGGAAGCGCATCTGCAATATCCTGTCTAATTAAATTATCGGCCAGACAAAACAGACACCACCCGGTCAGGTTGCGTCCCGTTTTACTCAATAACTTTAAAACGTTGGTAAACGCTAGCTCCGACCGACATTGTAAACAACTTCTGTATTGTAATACAGTTGTAATGAGATATTGCTAAACGAGTACTTTTCAATTTCAATTCTATGATAGTGAGTTTTAGTAGACAGATGCGGTAAAAGTTTATCTTTCACTAGGAGTTTCTGTGTAATAACCAAATGTAAAACATTCCCGCTTTGAGCGGCAACTTTGGCAAAGGATTCTCAAGTTGCGGCGGGCGGTGTGCTACTATTACGTAAAGGGTAAAGCAAAAGTTTTTACATTTGAGCCGCGGTCGTGGTGCTTCCCGTTCCGCATCGCGAATTCGTGAGCCGACGCTTTTGACAACACTCACTTTGAGGATGCGCCGCCGTTTTAGATTTATTATTACACAAGTTTCAATTCTGTTGCATAAAATTGCAAAGTACTCTGGGGTTACTTTGTTTGACTTTGAAGTGTCGGACGCGTCAAAGAATTTCATCGCCCTGAAGTCGGCAGGGACTTGGAGATCAATCAAGTGACACCAAAGGTCAAAGAAATCATTACGTTCGTAAATCGTAAGCCGCAATTTAGCGGAGGCGTACTGAAAATTGTCTCGACGGGACGTCAAGGATAACTTCATACATAAAAGGTTTTTGGCTGTCGGCCCCGCTCGTGGACAAGATTCTAACGATCACCCAAAAAATAAAAAGTTTTGGAAACAGTTCAAGAATCTATCAAATAGTTTTTATGTACATTGACGATATACAAATTGATGAAAAAACCATTTTAGGGTTTCAATAGAATCAAAATAATGGTATCTTATTAAATTAACAATAAGGGTTAAGAAATGGGGGCAGGTGAATAAGGGTATTCATTAAAAAACCCTGTGGAATGTGGTTAACAAGTTACGAGTTCAGGGGTGCATAAAATAATCTATTCATTTGTAGTTTTTACTACTGGGGCAACAAGGGACCTGATGGGATAAGGGTGGCAGGTATGTCACGATAGCTCGCATAAGGGTGCAGAGTTAACCACGCAATGTATACTGATGGTCCGTGTTGTCGGTGCAGCGTTGCGAGCGCGGAGCGGTGCGCGGGCGCAGCGCGTTGCGCGGACCCTTGACCTGATTGCGGCGCGCAGTATTGTACGCAGCAATGACACCGTTCGCCTTGAGCTGCTAGCATTGCCGGAGATATTCGCAACAATGGAGGCCAGATAACATTTCAAAAGTTCGAAAATCCGCTGGTTCCTACCGGTGGGGCGGTCGGTGGTTGTAATTAATAATCACATTGGATAATTATGATTGTCCTATGATACGTTTTGCGTTTTTGTTGCGGTAGCATAAATATTTATTTTTTAATACTTTAGAATAATGTATTTATTGATAGTGAGTCGAAGATCCGGCGCCAAGAGACGTGATCACAATTTCTCTCGTTATCTAGAACGACAAACGCCGTCATTAAGCCGACGCCGTATTTAAATTGTCATAATGAATGCTTTGATAACGATTTATCGGCAACGTACGAGGCACTATCGACTTAACAAAGGAAATGACGTGCTACTTAAAATACAACAAACGTTTCCGTTTCCCTGCCGCCTTTTTTGTGTCTATGATCGTTTTTCTCACGATCGGTCTCTCCAATGGGCGTGGTTATAAAAAACGGAAAAGAAGTAATCGATAGATCAGGGGCAAAGCTGGTCGTTTGCGTCCGCGCCGGAGATATCTGTCGCTACAGCACCATTGCATCAGTTTGTTAGTGGCAAAATTTAGCTCACGGCAGCAATCGGAACCGCGGCCGACTGTTTATCGGATATAAAGTTCTATAATTATTTTATCAAGTCCCTTTAGAGGAAGTTTCTTTGACGGTATGCAGTAGCAATATTAATTAATGACTCACCTCTGAGGATCCGCAAAGACGAACTTCCGTAGTTTGAGGTCCCGTAAAACAATGCCTTGTTCATGGCACGCTGCGACTGTCTCAGCCATTTGTCTGAAGAGTCTGCGAGCCTCGTGTTCCCGTAGCCGTTTCCGCGCTCTCACGTATGAGTGCAGATCAGAATGCGACCGAGGAAAGATGAGATACACCCTCTTGTCGCCGACTAGGACTTCGTGAATGGGGTTGACATGCGGGTGCCCATCGAGCCGGTAATGCGCTTGTAGTAAACTGCTGCAATCTCGGGACACCACCTAGGAATACGGAAAAACATAACAACTAAGAAATAATAAAATTTGTAACATAATTCCTTACAAAAAGAAATCACAGTAATAGTTGTACGTAATAGGTAGGCAGATAATAATAATAATAATAATAATAATCTTTATTTCTCTCTTACAACGTTATTACATAAATAAGTAATTTACATTAAGGACTTATTATTAGTACATCTTTGTAAGAGACTGGAGTCCATACTAGGATTTGACCTGTGTTACGGATCTCCAGGCACTCACCAACCGGACATCGCACTGTATTCTACATAATATAAGTGTTACCATGTTCTAAATTACAGAGAGCGGGTTTTATAACTGATTATTTTAATAATATAAGAAAGTAATGGAATAAAACAAAATTTTGTGTATGTGTTTGTTTTTTGTGTGTGTGTGAGTGTGTGCATGTGTGTGTGTTTTGTGTGTGTGTTTTGTGTGTGTGTGTGTGTGTGTGTGTGTGTGTGTGTGTGTGTTGTGTTGTGTTTTTGTGATTTTGTGTTGGAGCTACATGTTGGGTTAAGCAGCTAGGTATGGAGGTCATAGAGTTTGAATAGCTAGGAGATCTTCAGTGGACTGATAATCAAGACTGAGTAACCACTTTGTAATTTTAGTCTTACATTCATTTTTAGTTAGAGGATAGAAGGCAAGTATATTGTTTAATCTATTATATAACAGATGAAAGTACCTTCCGGCAAATTGAAACAAGTTTCCGTAAGAGTTGATGTGGTAGTACATCTCGAATTTAAATTTTTCCCATACAAATATGGAACAGCCCGCGGTAGGGACACTGGTTTTATTTCAGAATTTATGTACAAAATTTCGAGGTAAGTTTGTGTTTTTTTCTATCGTGAAAATGTTTAGGAATCGTGTTTTCGCACCTTATACTACTCAGTGTATATCTTCAATTTTACTATATTTTTTTCCAACGCGATTGATTCAACACTTGCACTGTTATGCGGAGTCAACCAAAGCCATTTGAGGTTGTATCGTCACTTAATGATAACTACTAATTTATCTCAAGGTTCAACATGTTGACATACTTTATAAAAAATGTGTATTGTATCATGTTAGAATACGGGTCACTTGCAAATAATGACAACGACTCTATTCTAAACTAGGTAAGTATAAATAGATTTATGCAAACTTCAAGTTCCTGTCGTTAAATAGATTCAAAGGGTTCTATTTCAAAGGGTTTTCAAAAGGACTAAGCCTAATGTGAATAACGAGGTTGAAACATGGTGAATGGGATTGTGCTAACCCTTCGAATGGGAACCAGTAGACTTAACAAAGAATTGGCTAGTAACGGTAAGGTTCAGGATTATGTAAAACTTAGACGTCAACTACAGAGTTAAGGTTCAAATTCACAGCACCTAGCTTCTATATCTTAGACTATGTATATTTAATGAGAATCGACGGTTTGGCTGGTACGAGTCATATACAACAGTTATTTTAGAACTAAAAGTACAGTCATCATTTATTTCAGAGCCGGCACGAAATGTCAACGACATTGTGGACGCAAATTCCAAATCAGATTTCCCCACTCACGAATGATGAATCATGTTGCGTGTGTCAAGCCATTTCTTTTAGGACTAGTATATAAAAATAGAGATTAATGCGCTTACTTTTAGCGCAGTTACCCCAGACATAGTGACGCTGTGTTTTAGTTTAATGTTGGAATATATTTTGGGCGTTGTTCGAAATTAAATCGTGACCCATTTGTCGAGGTGTTTGCGAAAAAGATATTGATAACAGTCCGCCATGTTGACAGAGCACTTGATAATATTTGGCATCAATGCGGTTTAAGAGAGCTAACCTACATACACTTATCAATGTTCATCGCGAGGTGTGCAAAATACACACGTAGTCGACATAACACCTAAGTACGACCCAAAGCTAAGCTAACAAAGTTCCCAATGCAACACAAAATTAAGCAGAGGTATTTCTTGTCTCAAATGTATCAATTCAAACGAGACGTTCTGTATGCGCATATGTTTAACATTGTCTTCAACAATTTGCTTAAAAGGCATTCGTTCAGTGGGCAACGTTATATTCGTATTTACCGTAAAGCGATTGCTTCGAATGTTTACAGATTGATTGCTTAATATCAATGTCGTACCTTCTCTCTGGTTGTGTTTGTAGTTCCCTCGCTAGTATAGTATCGGAGCAGCAATGAGCACCATTCAAGTTCTTTTGAGCGTTCGCTTTGTTATTAGTGGGGGGAACGAGAGGAGGGGCCCGCTAGCCTCGAAGTGACATTCGCCGATCGGCGCGTTATCAACTCGTCTATTTCACAATGTCAATGAGAAGGTCACACCTATTTTCGGCGCGGCCTGAGGCGTCCACGTGTTCCGTTGCCTTTATAAATTCACTGATTCCGGAGAAGTTATGTCATCGGTATGTTTACTTTACATGAGAAAGTGTAAGGAGGAGATCTCGTAAACAGGGAAATTGCGGAGGGTATCACATACGGTGTAAGCAAACTCATACAAATGTAGCCGTGTCGGCAACAGTCGGTGTTGTAAATACGCTCGGCGGGCGTTTAGCAACGATAACGTTGCCACACTTAACCTTGCCAAGTTCTCACGAGGGAAGTGCCTATTCTGCGCCTTGACAATACTCGTATAGGCCTTTGTTTACTGGAACTATGTATCCTGTGTTGCCTAAAATGACTACCTTAGAAGGATGTTTGAATATAAGGTATCTCAGACTAGTTCTAAGTTAAAGTTACGTAATGTTATTGTGATTCACCCGGACCTCTAAATAGCTGGTAGGCTGGTTCATTTAAGTTACTAGAACATGTGTAATTTTTAAATCCAACGCCGCCATCTAGAATCACTTGGTAAGTGTGACGCACTACTATTTCAGAGTTAAAATAAAACAGCGTGTTAATAACGTTAGGAGCAGTGTTATTGTTATCGATTGCGAAAGTCGACATATGACATTGTAAAAACGGCGATGGCTGCGGCTGTAGCCTACAAGTGCGATCGAGCAGCACGGGGCCATGACATATAAAGTATGACACCGGTGCTCAACGGAGATGCAATGAACAATGCACGCGAGATTCATGAAAAACAGCTATTATACCGTTTTAATTAATCACCACTTATTGTGTTTCGAGTTGAACACACAGATTTTTATCAATATTTGCGGTTGTCATGATTTCGTATGATTGGTTTACAGCCCACAAGTGTTAGTTAATATAAACCAGAGTTTTAATAGGAATGGAAGGGACACGCCATGTGGGCACATTATTGAGAGTCGCCTTATCTCTCCATGGGGTCTCAATCCCGTGGGATAGTGCGAACCCTTCTAGATTTGTGATATCGTATTCGGTATGTGGAGTGAAATTTGCAGTTGGGGTAATAGTTAACTTCGATGTTATTTTCGCACGACAATGGGATCAACATGGACGCTAGCCAATTTTACAAATAATTTTGCATATTTTCTAGTTCTTTAAACGTTAAAATTTTTCCTCCCTTTGTTTAAGAATATTCCATTCAAAATTAATAAAACTGTTAATAATATATATACTTCTAAAATATTTAGCAGCTAGACGCCTACTGTTTGACCAATTAACATATGGCATAGAGGTCGAACGAAAACAACGAGATTACGCACTATATCAATCAAACAAAGCTGCGCAATGAGGCTGTGCTGTTGAAACCCGGCACAATTTCAACATGCGACAGGTTACGTATCCTAGCCATGTCGCAGCCATGATGGATTGTTTATATTTGAAATTAGAATTCATAAAGAAACTCTTGAACAATAGGATGCATTATTTCTATTCAAATATGAAAAAAGAAAATTTTGTATTTCTGCAAAATTAAAGTGATAACATTTGTTTAATATATTGATAAGAAAAACAGTACTTATAATATACAAATATAGCTAGATGTAGAATTAAAAGACAAGGCCTAAGGTCAATCAAAGGATCAACAAGATGTGGGTAGGCCAGCGCACAAAGATGAGGGTAAGAGAAGTAGGATTTACCAAGGTAATCTAGCCTACTCTCGTCTGACTCAGGTTTATCAACACCGCAACAACCTATCGGCGTAGGCATTAGATAAGATAAACTTTGTAGGATCTTGGTACAATTTTAAAAACTAGTTATTTAACGCAGATTATGGTAAGGTACTCACTTTGCAAACATACTCCTCTTGCGTGCGCACATCCACACATCGACAAAGGGAGGAACCTTCGACCTGCTCGAGTAGTAGGTACTTCTCGGCGACTAAAGCCGCTTGGAAGTGGTGCTGCTGGGGCGCTGGGCTAGGCGGCGCAGGCGGCGAGGGTGGTGAGGCCGGCGCGGCCGCCAGCCGCTCCGCCAGCCCCGGCGAATGCGCCCGCTCCTCCGCTTTGCTATGCTCTCCCGCCTCGGCGCCTGCAGGCTTTGTCAGCCGCAACGGCCATAACAACGATGGTGATCCAGGATCCATCACTGACACAAACACAACACTGTCACGTTACACTAACAATCCACAACACACACAAACACTTAAACGAAGAGGAACTACGATGAGATGAACATGATCTGCAACCAAAACAATTGCCGAACATTACAAAAAATTAAAGAAACCAAACGAGACAATCTGCTATTTAGTAACACGGTGGAAATTGCGAATAAAATACGAACCTTGAAATGATTCGCCCTGAGAGGATATCGTACCAAAATTTGACTGTCCGTGGCGGTGAATAATCGCTTTATTGTGTTTTGAATTACAGGAACTTGTTTCAAGTAATTCGAGCACAAATAGACAGGCCAATATTTTGGGCCGGTGTCCGCTCGGGTTATTGCGAAACTAAACGAACACACGACCAAGCTTGACTAACGCCATTGCTAGACTGACGGCTTGGCTCGAAAATCCTCGGGCCGGCAACCGATCCAACGTCCAATGTCGACACACAACTTGCGTAGTACGCGGTACGCCATGCGGCTTGCACACGAACGTGTAATCAACTATCTATCTCTGTCTAATGCGAAAATTTAAACGTTTCAAGGAAAGGGACACAAATAGACCATTCATTTACGTTTGGCAATGCTGTAATGTCAAATGTGTACAAATAATTTAAGCCTTGTTTCAATAATTTTCACAAGATTGGTAAATAATTATTTATAGGTTAATGAGTTATTTTGATGTTTTACAATAGATATTATATTACTGCTTTCTTTCACTAACAACTAGAACTTGTTTAAGTATATTAATAATTATCAATAAAATTAAGCAAACATTACCTACATACCTACGTACATGCACACAAAGACACATAAATTACATGTATATATTTAGACACTTTATTTTGAAGTTTTACGACATAATATATTCGGTATTTTAACTCTATGTTGCCGATTACTTCTAGAATAAAACGTATGTACATAACTAAGTTAGTATGTCTTTATTATAACTTTTTCACAATTTCAATTTAATAGTTTGAAATAATTGTGAAATAGTTGATAACTTGAAATTATGGTTGTCGGTATAAGTTCACGGTCGCTAGGGTTTTGTTTACAACCGTAATAAATCAACGTGAGATTTTTTTATAGACGAAGCAAAAATCAAACCTAGGGCTTGAGCACGAGCTCGTACCTATTTAAAACTTCGAGATGAAAATATCCAGGTGGTGTTCAATGTTCTTCCAACAATGGGTAGTAAAATTGAAACTGCTTTCCGTTCTGCGTACAATGACGAGACGACTGAGGCGGGCACGACAATCGAAAACTTTTTCTTTGAAAAAATGCATTAAGCGTTGATTACGAATAGAAGTAACTACATTGCTGGTTAGATAGAGAAACTCGAACATTTTTGTTTTACAAATTACGCAATTTATACCATAAAGGTTAAATTGAGTTTGTATTTGTTATATAGGTACCCAGGGCACGGAAATTGCTGTACCAAATTTGTGCGATTTCTTATTATGAGGCAGAAATTCTTCAACCAGGATGGAAATGAATCGAAAAAAAATTGTTAATAAGTAAGTAGACGAACTTGTGGAACCGCGTTGTGACGAAGTCACGCCAGATTATCTCCAATTTTCGTTGATATTTTTTTAAAATTTTTTTTTCTTATTTATTGAGGGACAAACAGTTACACACATATAAAAAAATACATATTTTAAAATTAACTTATAAATAAACCCATAGTCCCTTAAATATACATTAAATAAAACAAAAAGTAGGTAAACAGACTTTCTGATACACAATAAACAACACGGAAGAAATAAATGTATGTATGTGGTCTGTGATAAACAATTTTTATGTTCAGAAGACAAAGTTCCTCTAATGAAAATTAGAATTTTTTAGAATCTGGGTCTATTTATGTATCATATTTAACTCTTCATCAAACCATTTATACCTCCCATTGTTGGGCACGGGTCTCCTCGCATGCGACGGTTTAGGCCATAGTCCGACGAGATCGTGGTAAATTTCAAATTAAATAAATTTTGAAAATTCAGAGGCGAGTGGATTCGAATCCACGGCCTCTGCTTGAGAGGAGGTAGGTCAAACCATTGGGCTACCACGGCATTTTTGTATTTAAATATCTGTTATCATTTTTGTATTTAAATATAGTATATATATTATTATATATAATTATGATATTGGTATATTTTTTCTATTTAAATACTTCAATCCTTACCTGAGTAATATATGAAGATATGAACATCTGTATACAACTTTACAGAAAACTTGATTTACTGACACTGTTTTTAAAAAACACCAAAATACACGGTAAAAAAACCCATAAACAGGCAAAACGCCAAGTGTAGTGCACTAATGAAGTTTCAGCAAGAAGAGAACGAGGAAGGCTTCAAATTGCACAATATTTTTTATATTATTGCGCAACTAATGCTTTTGATATTGAAACTAAAATGTCACAACCACGATCATTGTGACGTATTCATGACGCACTATTGGAAAACTTATGGTAGTGACACATTTCCATCAACCTAGACACAGGATTCTAATTAGTTAGTCACGGATGGATGTGGGCTTCACCAATGACGACGCCATTGATTGTTTAATGTAAAGTGTTTATACCCACTAGTCAATCCTCAGGCAATGTATAGTAAACTGATACCATTATCTGTTGTCTAACATACTGTGTCATTATACTTCTAATAAGCGAACAAACAATTCGCTTGTTATAAAGCAGTTAATTTTATTTATTTACTTATATATCAACCGCCATTTGCGAAATTGTAAAATTCTTGAACAAAAGCAGACTATTGGATCTAGACCAATCGTTATATACCATCTAACATTGTTTTATAATGTTAAAGAATTTTGTACAGAGTGTAATGCAAATGGCGCAAATATGTATCTAAGATTTTATTCCTATAACTGACATGAAACTCTAAACTTTTAAAATGAGCTTTAATAGAAACATAATAATGTTCTATCGATATCTTGAGATTTTAAGTAATCACATCACTTGAAAGGTCGTTTATCGTGTTGCAGATTCATAACACGAGAAATAATAACAAAGTAGTGGAATATTTTCGCAAAGAAATATATGAATACCATGGTAGAAAAATGATCATGATATTTAATAAAACAAAAAAGTGGACAGTGTAGTTACTAGGTAAAATAGTAATAGGTTTGAGTATGTAACTACATAAATCGACTAATCCGAAGAACAGTGTGATTATATAGCGAAAAGAGAATAAGTACGTTACAAGAACAATTTCGTTATTCAAATTAAGGCCTATGTAAAGGTGTTTTGAGAATTTGTATGTCTTATTTCGTTTCGGAAATATAAAATACATAGACCAACGGTCGATCTGCCATCCGCAGCGAAAAAGAACGAACGAAATGTTCTATGTCCTGAGAACAAGTAGTCTTGCACATATATCTTTCTTCTACGGATGAGTCGAAATGCAGTTAGGTTACCTAGAAAGTTATCATTTGCAATATCCAACAAATACATTTACAGTCTTATGTAAACGACGTCACTATTTATATTATAAGGAGAAAACTATAAACAAAAACGACGCATCATTTTATCTTACAAATTTTATCTCCGTCATCGTAGCTTTTTGATTTTGAAAGATTAACAGTCTTAGCTGATTGCGGACTATAGCAGAATCCTTTTAAGTTCTATGGACCAGAGCCACAACTTTTTAATTAAAAATGTGCTGGAGATTTAAACAACCGGTTTGGCTACTGTTTTATTGTTTGCAATCAAAGCGAGGCGAATAGCCTGCTGTAAAACTCAACATTGGCTGGTAGTGCTCAAGCACAGTCGTATTTTTTATAGGTAGTAAGTCTAATATTACTCCTACCTTTTTGAGGAAAATGCTTTTTTTATTGTCTTAAGTTAGTACCGCATGATCTTGATTTCTTATAAAAGATTTTTTATGAATGAATGTAACCCACAAAAGACATCGTTCTGCTTCAAATTGACCTCTATTAAGGCCGTGGGTACTTATATCAAGCACATATACGTAACTCGATTCAGACTCAGACAATATTATTCTGTATTTACGTAAACGCCCCTTGCACACAACAATGAAAATTCACTTCTAAGCGCTGTATGTATTCTACATAGAGCGCACTATAAGTTTCCCGAATTGGCCACTTACATAAACAATATTTAAAAAGTAATTACAACATTTGAAAATGGAACTCTTTGGCTGTAGAATACAGTTTGTATCATCTGACTGTCACTTGTTTTTACATTGTGGCGTCATTTTAGAAATTGGTTGTCTACATCACCACGGATTTAACTCGTGAAAATTTTCGTAGTATGATTTTCTACGACTTTAAGCGTAACTTAACAGCTCAGCGGAGCTTCGCTCGGCTTCAAACTGCTTTTGGCGATGAAGCACCATGCAAGACGACTATTTATTGCAGAATTCAAACGCGGTCGTGTGAATCTCAGTGACGAATTTCCTGACGGTCGCCCGTCCACTGCTGGGAACAACAAAAACATTGATGCTGTGCGCCGTATGCTCAAAACAGACAGGCGTGTGACATACCATGAGATTTGGGCATAGGCATAGGCATGAGTCAAATACAATCAATACTACACAAACATTTGGGTGTGAAAAAGCTATGCTCTCGGTGGATTCCACACAATTTGACTGAGGCTCAAAAAACGGATCGCTTCACTTGGTACAATGTCATGCTTACCAGATTCAACGAAGGGGCGACAAATTTGGTATGGGATAGTAACAAGTGAAGAAACATGGATTTATAGTTACAATCCCAAAACAAAACAGCAATCGAAAGTATGGGTCTTTCGAGATGAGCCGAAACCACCCAAAGTGGCGCGCGTGCAAAGTGCATCTAAGCGGATTATTGCATCTTTTTTTAATACAACTAGACACGTGGTTACTGTTGCTTTGGAGAATCGTTGTACCGTGAATAGTGATTGGTACACGACCATTTGTTTGCCGGAGGTTATTGACAAACTCCGTAAAAACAACCGTAAACGCCGTATCATCTTGCACCACGATAATGCCAGTTCTCACACGGCCAGACAGACAAATGAATTTTTGAAGGTGAACAACGTTGACCTTATGAGCCATATCGCGTTCAGTCCCGACCTGGCACCTTGTAACTTTTATTTATTTCCAAAGATTAAGAACCAGTTACGCGGTCAACGATTTTCATCACCTGAAGATCAACGGTCAACGATTTTGATTAGGCTGTTGAAGAGTATGAAAAATATGTTTCAGAGATTGTTACAGAGGAGTGGCATAAATGTTTTCAAAATTGGTTCATTCGTATGAAAAAGCATGAACGCTAACGGAGAATATTTTGAGAAACAATAAATTTATTTCTGACCATTTATAGTATTTTTTCTTATTCATTCCGGAAAC